TGCATATATTGATATAAAGTATTTCCAGCTGTGTGCACTTGATATTTTTATAACTTTATCTCTTATTGTTCCACTTCCAATAGCGCAGCTTTGTTTCGTTATTCCTTGATAGAAACTACCAAAATACACACAAGCAGCCATGACACAGCCACAAAACAGGACTACTCTGGTGAATATTATAATTCTGGAACAGGAGTTGTTACAGTCTTTATGATATGGAACTTAAGCCCGAAAACAGACTCACACTGGCACAGGATCGTAGCACTTTACTTTCACAGACACGCTCCTCAACAATGCACAGCACAGAACTTCCACATGTACAGGGACTCAAACTAAAAGTCGTAGTCATAGTTCATACCTGTGCACAGAACAAGATGCACAAAAGCTTCTAGGCCAACTCTCTCCCAAGTCTGTCCTTTACCAATTTTTTTTCCTAGTTTCTTCCTTTAAATGCTTCTTTCCAACCACCCTCTCAACTGTTCCTACTCTATCATGGCTTCCTTTGCCCCTCTCATCTCTCTGTCTTTCCTGGTTTGGACCTACTTATTTCCTGAGGGACTAGCAGTCCTACCTCCATCTCCCCTTTCTCTCTTTTTGTGTCCTTTATTTATTTTTTTGCTTTGGGTTTAGGTTTAGATGTGTGAGTTCCATCCTTGTCTCTTTGGCAAATGCCTGATTGAATACCGATAGGGCTTTATAAGGAAAATGACCAAATTTGAAGGAAAGTCGGATTACATCCTTTTATTTTTGTATGTGGTTATTCTCCTAAATCCTAATAAGTCGCTTATAACTTTCATGAACAAGTGTTCACTGGATTAACAGGGGGAGGGACTAAAGAATTATACAAAATGGTCTGGTGGCCCAACAGGAAAGGGGGATGAAAAGTAAAATGATGAGAAGTCATACGTAGGGAAAAAGAACTCTGATCAGATAAGAGAAACATGTGAACTCAAGAGAATAAATCCATCACCCAATTTTGTAAGCTGACATGCTAATTGTCTGTGTTGGACCTGAACAGTCTCCCTACATTTTGCTTTCAAATTCTTTAGTTGGGAATGTTATGAATATATCAAGAGGTTGAGCATAGGTGCAGCGTCTTTTCTTTTTCTTTTTCTTTGCAAGGACATTTGCAGTAAGCTGAGAAAGAAAATTATGCTTGGCAGATGGACTTTGGTATTCTTACTGTTATTTTTGTTTCAAAACTGTGGTATAGATGCTCAAATACTTTTAGGATTGAAATATGTGAAGGTTTAGCATTTCTATGACACTTCGGTGTCTTGGCGTGCATGTTGGATTTTTTCTTTTCTTTCTTCTTTTTTTTTTTGGCTTTTGCTCCAATGTTCTAGGTTTTTGAACCATACTAATCTGGTCAGCAACTTGCTTCCACCTTTGTGAAGGGCATATCTCTGACCGGGAATTTAATCACTGCTGCATATCTAGGGCTCGAATTTAAGACCTCTGGTTAAGTTGGATCAATCCCCTAGCTAGTTGATCCAGGCATTGTGTTTGTGCTCTTTAATGTTCTTGAATTCATAGAACAAATGTACATTTGTCTTGGAACATTTTATACGTCTGCAAAATTAATTGCTTTCAACATTATGAAATGACCAGTGGTTTGTTGAACAGTATTTTCAGCTTCAATTAGGATTTATGTCTGAACATTTTATTTACTTTCCATTTCCTTTCCATTTTTTCTCTGCAATGTTACAACAGTCTTCTCATGATGCACTCTAAATTATGTTCGCATATTTTGCAGAAAACTATAAAGCAAGAGCATTTCTTGTGGCAGTTGTTCAATATAGAAAGAGATATTGAAAAGACAACTGACGATCTTGAGGATGAGAAAAAAAGTCGTGAAGGTGTCATGGAAGAACTAGAAAAATTTGAAGCTGAAGCTAGTAAAAAGAAGAAAGAACAGGCAAAATATCTGAAAGAGATTGCACAATGTGAAAAGAGAATTGGTGAGAAGAGCAACAAACTTGACAGAAATGTGAGTTCTCTTTTACTTTGGGGAGGAAGGGATGAGTTAGGATAATTGTTGGCATTTAATTGTCATCCCTTACTAGTGACATGCATAGGTTGATCTGTGCTTTAATTTTTAAACTTTGCTAATTTTTGTTGTGATTCAGCTGTAAACACAAATTTCCAGTTTGAAGATGATGTTGCCTTTTGGGCAGTTGCCTGACCATGGTTGTAGTGCCAAAACATCCAACCATAAGGGAGAAAGAGAAGCAATTAATTTTCACCCTTGTAAACTGTGCTTTAATGTACTTTGGGCTTTAGGACCTGTAGTGGATCGGAGTGAATAAATGGTCTATTTGACCGATAATTTATATTAATCTCCATTACTGTTGGGCTCAGTTCTTTTGTAGAAGTAAATAAATGAATGTTTTTACCCATAAAACATTTATGTGAGTTTGATAACCTCAAAATTGGTTCCTGACCAAGTTTTCCTCTCATAAGCTTATGGGTTGACTCTTTAGTTGGATTTTAGCTACCTTCGTATACGTATGTGGATTCTTCAATGGGTTCGTGGAACCTTTGACGTTTCGATGTATATAATCATTTTTTGCAATTATACATGTCAATTTCCTTTTGCTCCCTCTAGGCCCATTTTATACTGTTGGCATACCTGGGTTTGTTAATTGAAGCAATAATGTATGAAAGAAAGAAGTGTCTACAAGATTTGCATGCCATTATTAAATTCCTTGCTGCATGTTTTCTAAGCCCTATGTTGTGGTCTCATGCATCTTATCTGGGGGTCACAGTATATAGACTCACTTTGTATTCATATTGATCTCTTGAGAATGAATTAAAAAATACTACCTTCATTTTTTCTCTGTCTTTTCAATAAATTTGTTCTCTGGCTTCCCTGGGCTGCTTACAGCAACCTGATCTTCTGAAGTTGAAAGAGGAAATGGCTCGTATTAACTCAAAAATGAAAAAAGGGAAGAAGGAGCTAGATAGAAAAAGGGAAGAACGGAGAAAACATGCTAATGATATAACAGAGCTACAGAAGGGTATACGAGATCTCACTGCCAAGTTGGAAGATCTGCAGGAAAAGAGTCGAGATGCCAGTGATGAATTGAAGTTAGATGGCAGTGACTTGGAGGAATATTTTCGAATGTGAGTATATATTTCCTGAAACCTTGTAGCTTGTTCTTTGTCAGACAGTGTTTATTTATTTTTTCTATTTGCATTATGCTTTTGAGCCATGGTTGAAACACACCATTTTTTTAATATTTAGCTCGGGATTTCTTGTGAAATCCAGACTATCTTGGTGCAGTGTGCATCAAAACTAGTGTACTTGTTTTTAATTGCTTGATTGTGCTGGTTTTGTATGTAATTGTGTTAAGAGCATTGTTCTCTTGTTTGAGACAAGATTTAAAACGGTTGGTTAGTGTCAAAGAGAAAGTTCCATTAACTGGAAGTCTGGATAAGGTGTATCTCTTTTCCTTATGATTTTCCTTCTTCTGTTACTGGAATTCATGATCAAAATGTTGCTGTCACAGCAAAGAGGAAGCTGGGATGAAAACTGCAAAGCTCAGGGAGGAGAAAGAACTTCTGGATAGGCAACAACATGCAGATAGCGAAGCTCAAAAAAATTTGGATGAAAATCTTCAACAATTAAGGAATAGGGAGTCTGAATTGAATTCACAAGAAGAACAGATGCGAACAAGGCTGAAAAAAATTCTTGATAATTCTACTAAACATAAGGATGACCTTGCAAATTTGAAAAAAGAATTGCGTGTGATGCAGGACAGACATCGAGATTCTAGGTAATTTAACTTGTTCTTTCATTTTCTCGTCTCTGTATTGGTTAGAGGCTAGAACCAACTCTTCTTTAAAGGACCTTTAAAGGCCCTGATGGGTTAAAATGTTTATCCTTTCTCTTGAGGAAAAAGGAGGAGCTGTTGTGCGGCGGGGTAGGGGTTGTTAGTGATAAAGTTTTGCAGAAATTGTTGTGCCTATGCTTTATGAAATGATATATCTACTGTTGATATTCAGTGTGCCTTTCTTTTGATGAAGTTCTGAATTTTTTACAATTTTTGTTACTTTTCATGTGCAGGAAGAAATATGAATATTTGAGGTCTAGAATTGGTGAAATAGAAAATCAACTTCGTGAATTAAGGGCTGATCGATATGAAAACGAGAGAGATGCAAAATTGTCTCAAGCTGTGGAGAGTCTCAAACGTCTGTTTCAGGGAGTCCATGGCCGCATGACTGATCTTTGTAGGCCAACACAGAAGAAGTATAACCTAGCTGTTACTGTTGCTATGGGTAAATTTATGGATGCAGTTGTAGTTGAGGATGAAAAGACTGGGAAGGAATGCATCAAGGTGCTAATGATGGCCTTCATTTAGTTGATCAGTTATATATATTAATTATTTATGTTAGTATTAATTAGAACTTTGATCACTTTCTTCTCTACAGTATTTGAAAGATCAGAGGCTTCCTCCACAAACATTTATTCCTTTGCAATCAGTTCGTGTGAAGCCAATTATTGAAAGATTGCGCACATTAGGTGGCACAGCAAAGCTGGTTTTTGATGTCATCCAATATCCTTTTTTACCAATGACTCTTTTGCAGACCCTGTTGCATATATTTATATATATATTTGGTTTATAGATGTTTTCTTTTATTGTTTGAGAATTGCCCTGAATTTTTCCTTCTGCAGTTGGCTTGTCCATGGGAACTGCACTGCCTTACTTAATTTCTTTCCTGGCCTTTGTGACACAACATTTTGTTGTTAATCAACAATTTAAAATTGAATGTTAATATGGCAACAATAACAAACTTTATCCCACTAAATGAGATTCATTACCTAAATTTAACAATCCCATTGGGACTGCTGATGTATCATTCAGCATTATACCCCATTTTATAACTAATTTCGTTTTCTCTCTCTAGTAATTTCAAAGTGCTTTCTTTAATGGGATAATTTCAATGTGCTTTTGTCTAGCCATTGCATATTTATGCATTATTTTTTTTGTTAATGAACTTCCTTTTGGTACAGGAGTAGTGTTTTGTTTAGGAGGTGGATTGTTAAGTTGGCATTTCAGTTGGTTGAGTCGTCGTTCTGTCATGAATCTTTTGTCGTGGCTGCTGTTCATCAAAATTCTTCATGCTTTACGTCTAATCTTTGACTTCCTAAAAAATAAATGCATAATATTTGCTTTTATTTGGTGGTCTAGCGTAACTGTTTTATGCATCACCTCTTGTGATTGTTTTGATTATTGCAAACCATCACGCATCTTTGATTGTTTTTCTGTGCCTATTGCTTTCCAGTAAATTATACTCTTTCGTTAAAAAATGTGAAGCATTTTTAATTGAATCTCACCTCCCTATAAAGTAGTTTTTTTTTTCAAACTAACCTTATTTTTTCATTTTTATTCTTATTTAATAAGGTGTTTTACCCTAGAATAAATATAAAGAAACTTATTCAATAGGGGGCACTTTGGAAAAAACGGCAATGATTACACTTTGAAAGACTAAAAATGTCTTATATTTTTGAACATCTAACCCTTTAGAAAATGCCTTACATTTTTAAATAGAGGGAGTATTTTTTTTCAAGTAAAATGATGTCTTATGGACTGAAAAAGTGCTTCAAGGTTTTCAACTTAACTAGGGCAAGTTTGATCCTGCCTTGGAGAAGGCAATTCTCTTTGCTGTTGGGAATACTCTTGTTTGTGATGATCTTGAGGAGGCCAAAGTTTTGAGCTGGAGTGGTGAGAGGTTCAAAGGTAAGTATGCTTTCTCCCTGTGTTCTAAGTGTTCTGTATCTTACTCTCATGTCAAATATGGTCATCATTAGAACCTAAAGGAAATAAATAATTTAAATTCTCTATTTTTCTCTATTATCTTTTTAGTCTGGTTTCTTGTTAAACTTCCTTCTTGGGAAGTCACATTTTTTATTTATTTTACTCACTGATTCTGTGTTCTTTAGATGCTTATTTATTATTTCTTTATCTAGTATTATTTCTTCCTCGTGGAGGATGTTAATGTTTCTGATTTTGTGGATATAGCATGATATACTGGTTTCTTTTAAAGTATTTTTGCTTGCAGAATGCCAAAAGTAAAACTTTGTTACATGTTCTTTGACTAGTTGTAACTGTGGAAGGAATTCTGCTGACAAAATCTGGCACAATGACTGGAGGCACTAGTGGTGGAATGGAGGCTAGGTCAAAACAGTGGGATGACAAAAAGATCGAAGGTTTGTTTTTTGAAATGTGAGTCAAAGCCAATTTGTTCCAGCAGTAACCATGCTTTTTTCAGGCCTGAAGAAAAAGAAGGAGAATTTTGAATCTGAGTTGGAAGAGGTAGGATCCATAAGAGATATGCACCTTAAAGAGTCTGAAGCATCCGGAAAAATTAGTGGACTTGAAAAGAAAATTCAATATGCTGAGATTGAAAAGGTAATTCACCCACTCAGAATATACGGACTCACTAAAAAATAGATGCTAGTCTTGGTCCAGTAATAGATAAGAATATTTTTTACGCTGGTAACTTTTTTATTGCCTCTGCTAATGGAATTTCAATTATATCATCTTTAATTATGTTTCTATTTTTTTACAGCGAAGCATTGAAGACAAACTTTCAAATTTGAGGCGAGAGAAAGAGATAATCAAGGAAGAAATTGAACGGATCAGTCCAGAACTTCAGAAGGTAAGGTGACGTTTGTGATGACTTGGTTTAGTCATGATTATGCATTTGTTTACCGAAGAGGTTACCTAGTGTTTACACTTTGCAGTTAAACGGCACTATTGATAAGAGGAATGCAGAAATACGTAAGCTGGAGAAGAGGATCAATGAAATTACTGATCGGATTTACAAAGATTTCAGCAAGTCAGTTGGGGTTGCTAACATTCGTGAGTATGAAGAAAATCAACTGAAGTCTGCTCAAAATGTAGCAGAGGAGAGGCTGAGCTTGAGTAGCCAGCTATCAAAATTAAAATATCAGTGCGTTCATTCCCCCTTCTCTCTCTCACTCATGTTCTTTGCAACTAAACTCCTGGAAGGGTTTCTATTTAATAGTATTTGAGCTTGCGACCAACTTCTGTTCTGCTTTGCTGAAAGTGTATTTGAATTGCCAGAGTGCTGAATTGAAGCTGTATCAACTTGTATATTTACTTGATTATGTGATTGTATAAGGGAAAAAATGACAACAGCCGTCAATGTCTATGCTATGAATAGCATAAATAGGTGGATTGTCAGGAAACATCTGCCTGATGCCCGTGATATATTGTCTCTCAGAAATAGTATAAGGGGGGAGTTCAAAGTAGCAGTATTTTTAAGGAGCACTCAGGAGATTTATATTTCTGTCTTTTAACGTGAAAATATGGAAGCTGTTTTGTGGCAAATGCCATCTGTTGTTATGGTTGTTATGTCTCTGAATCAATATTTGTTAGCATTTTTTATCAGACATGGTGAGCATAAATGCATTATTGGTTTGCAGATTTTAAAATCTCCTCTCTATGATTTATATACAAAATTTAAAAATAATATCTTATATAAACAACAAATAATGCGGTTTACAAATTGCTAACTAATCCTTCCGAACTGCAATGAGTTATTGTTAACTAATTTACGTTTCTTAAAAAAGTTTGTTAAAATCTTGATTTAAGTTTGCTAACTAATGTGTTTGAACGTGAAAATATGGAGGTAGTTTTGTGGCAAATACAATCTGTAGTTGTTATGGTTGTTGTTACATCTCTGAATCAATAGTCATAATTCAACTTGAGTGTTTTCCTGTTATTGGTATCATTATTTTCTTGCTGTCATTGACATGGATATTTTTTTTTTGAGTGAAGTCAACACAGATTTTTTCTTTGTGCGCGTGAAATAGTTTCAATTGATGAAGGTTTTTCTTTGTGCGCATCCTCTTTTTGTACTCTATGTGAAAACTTTGGGCTTCGGAGTATTTTTAAATTTAAAAGTGTAGTTGATTAAAACAAATGGTATTTGAATTGAGTCTTATTATTATTTTTTTTTTAGCTCTAGTCGTTGTCTGTTTAGTTGCTCTTAAATTAATTAATGCATTCATTCATTAATATTCTTTTTTTCAATAACTATCAGGTTGGAGTATGAGCAAAATCGGGATATGACTACACGGATTAGAGAACTAGAATCTTCTTTGAGTGCTCTTGAGCATGATTTAAAACAAGTACAGCACAAAGAGGCTGAAACAAAGCTGGCAGCTGAGAAAGCTACTGAAGATATTAACCAGTTTAAGGAAGAAGTTCAGGGTATACTTGGTGCCTCGTCATTTTACATTATGATATTACCTAGATAGAATTTTAAAATACCGTTACAATATTTATGGCCAAGGTTCTTTTTCACCTTTTATTCTCGGGCAAAGGGAGTGGGGTATCAGGGTTTTTCCTTGGTTATCTTAGGTTGACATGAGCTGTTTCTTTGAGGTTCTCATTTGAAATTGTTGGAATCACAGTTTCATTGGTCTTGATAGGAACTGAACTACACACACGTCCCATTTATTTGTTATTTTTCTCTGTGCGTCTGATTCTTCTATTCTTGTAGAGTGGAAATTGAAGTCGGAAGATTGTGAGAAGGATATCCAAGAGTGGAAGAAGCGTGCTTCTTCAGCCACAACAAGCATATCCAAACTTAATCGTCAGATAAACTCAAAGGTGGGGGTGGCGATAAATTTGTCCATTTTTGCAACTTAAAAGTACAATTTATGGATAAATGAACCCATCTTTACGGTCATAAACAGGAGGCACAGATTGAGCAGTTGATTGTGCAGAAGCAGGAAATTGTAGAAAAGTGTGAACTAGAACAGCTTAGCCTGCCAATTATAGCAGATCCAATGGATACTGGTACTTCAATACCAGGTCCAGTTTTTGACTTTGATCAACTAAGTAGGGCACTGAAGGATAGGAAGAACTCTGACAGGGACAAAATTGAGGTTGAATTTAGGCAAAAAATGGATTCCCTTACATCTGAAATTGAAAGAACAGCACCGAATTTGAAGGCATTAGACCAATATGAAGCTTTGCTGGAAAAGGAAAGGGCAGTAACTGAAGAGTTTGAAGCTGTCAGGAAGGAGGAGAAGGAGAAGGCTGATAGGTTCAATGCAGTGAAGCAGAAGAGGTATGTTTATACTATTAAATGCTGTGTGTTTTACCAACAGTTTATGGTACAAATATGACGAAAAGATACAAAGGAATCTTAATGTCAGGTTGCTTGTAAAGACATGAGGTGGAAACTGAAATGGTTAGTTGTGGTTAGAAGATAGGGGTGCTTTGGGAAATGATTCTAGACTGACACGGGTATCCAGTTTGATTTATTTGTTTAAACAAGTAGTGCAGCATGTTACCAGAAAGAGAAACATTTGTTGAGATCAAGAGGCAAAAATCGGTATTGGCATGCCACGAGGAAAGTAATGTGTTTCCCACTCAGAAACACCTAAATTAGTGTTATCAAAAAGAAGAAACACCTATATTTTGTTTATTATATTATTTACCAAATCTGACGATAATGCAATAATTTGCATCTCAAGTTCCAAGTACTATATACAGCTATTATTTTTGGTTCCTTGCTGCAATCACCTATCTTGTATTCACATGATAGATTCCAGGAGGAACGTGAATGATCCCTTGACTAGATCTGGTATAGTATGATCTAAGAATGAACATCCTTTAACACAAGTTTTGCATTGATTCAAATGGTAATATAATTCTCATTTTAAGGATGGCATTAAAAGGTCAAGCTGCTATTGGTCACCTGCATGATATGATAAGCACACTTTTTTTTGGGTAAGTGGTGGGAAGAAGCTACAGCCAATGATTAACTTACCTCGTTTCCTTTATAGATCTTTCTAGTTATGAAACTCTTCAATTAGTATAATTTTTCTTGTCTGATTTATATTGTGGTATCAGCTTATTTCTCTATGTTCTACTCGCTTAGTTGCTCACTGATTTTGTTGGCTCTAGGTTTTGATTGAGTTATTACTTGATATCCTGAAACAAGGGAATTTTTTCTGTATTTGATGTTTGGGCATCACATCTATTCTCTGATGTAGCTAGGTTTATTTAATTAAATTCAGGTATGAGTTGTTCATGGATGCTTTCAACCACATATCTGGTAATATCGATAAAATATACAAACAACTTACAAAGAGCAACACGCATCCGCTGGGTGGAACAGCATACTTAAATTTAGAAAATGAAGATGATCCATTTCTACATGGCATCAAATACACTGCTATGCCCCCAACAAAGCGCTTTCGTGATATGGAGCAACTGTCTGGTGGGGAGAAGACTGTTGCTGCACTTGCTTTGCTATTCTCCATCCACAGGTAAGTGTCATGAATACAGACCCGTATCTCAAGCATGTTTTTACTCTTGTATTTTTATTTTCTAAGCTCAATCTGAATTGCAATGCCTTGTATATAGCCATTTTCTGACATTTTTGGTTTTAAACATGAGTTCTTGCGAGGGACATGCTGGGTACATCTGGAACATGCAACCATGCTCCATAGTGGCATATGTGATCTGCTTGTTGAGTTCTGTTAACCCTGCTTGCTTCTTGTTTCAGTTACAAGCCCTCACCTTTTTTCATATTGGACGAAGTCGATGCTGCATTGGACAACTTAAATGTTGCCAAGGTTGCTGGATTTATTCGTTCCAAATCTTGTGAGGGAGCAAGGGCTAGCCAGGATGCTGATGGTGGCAGTGGCTTTCAAAGTATTGTGATATCCTTGAAGGATACCTTTTATGACAAAGCTGAAGCATTGGTTGGGGTTTACCGTGATTCAGAGAGAAGGTAAGCTTGACAATGATTGAATTTAAATTCCAACATGCATCGATTTCCTTCTTGTCGTAAATCCACGTGATCCTCCAAGTTGATGTGGTACACATGATTTGCTTTCTACAGCTGTTCGAGAACTCTGACATTTGACCTGACCAAATACCGCGAGTCCTAAAATTCATGGATAGGCTACAAGGGATTATCAGCCTGCTATATACATAGCTGATAGCTTAGGCCCTAGTTACATTCTTCTCTTGTATATAATAACCTCGCATTCTGATTGATGTCTCATCCTCACCCTTCGTCACAATGATTTATGTTGAAGTTGCCATGTCAGTTTTACTTATAATATTTTGTAAATATGACTTTCTCAGAGGATGCAAAGGATGCTGTGACATTAGAAGTTCAATCAATGCAAAACGCAATAGCTAGATGACCAATGTGCGCACTTTGCTGTACATATGTATTCGATTCATCTGGAATGTCTCTTCCATGCAGTTAGTATTCCTGTAGTTGAGTATTATCTTCACGAGGAAATTGTTTGACCTTTTTGGGATTTGGAGTCAGCGAAAATTGTATTTTTATCTTTGAGTACAAGAAGTTTAGTGAAATTCGATTGTTAACATGCGTGTGGTGACGAACCTGCACCTGTAGATGAGAATAATGAAGTGAATGGGCCTCTAAAGGCATGTTTAGGAGGGTGGAAGAATATTTGCACCTGCGGTTAAATTAGTTCGAACATGTTGCTTGAGTATGCCGATTAAGCGGACGAAGCTGCGTGACGCTGGATGCTTAATAATGTTGTGTGTGAAACTTAAGAACGATTTTTCTTAACCACTAAATTGGCTTGGAGAATTACGGCATGAGGAATGTCGTTAATGGTGTTGTTCCCAAAACATGTGGACCTCGGGTTCAACTCGGGAAACTGGGCCCATGCCCCATGGACATTAGACAACTAGCAAACTCAGACTGGGCTTCAACATCGAGTTCCGGGTCAGATTTAGGTGCAAAATTGAAAAAGAAGTAGAAAGGAGGGTTTAGGTGCAAAACAGCCCTTGACAATTTCACCTCATATTTTAAAGTATTTTTTGATATAATTTTGCTTCAATATTTTTTTTTGGGTATAATGTTGTCTTGACCTAATTGTTAGATCACATTGACTGTTGGATTAACAAATTTCAACGTTAATTGCCTTGTTGGCCTTTAATGTTTTCATAATTGAATCGAATATTGAACCAAAAAAATCAACGATTCACATGATTCACTAGTTGGATTAATCGTCAGACCGATGACATAATAATTAAATTAAAAAAATTATATATGTATATAATAATTTAAATATAAAAAATACATATGAAATTGCTACTTAACTTAAAAAACCAAATATTTTAAGTTTATCATAACTTAATAAGCTACATGATACAACATAATATCAAATGATTAAAAAAATTAGCCATTTTTTAAAAAAATTGAATAAAAAATAAAAAAATTTTTTTTAACAGTTTGGCTTTTGAAAACTGGATTTAATTCCCGACTTGATTTTGGTTCTCAGTTAAAAATGACTCAACCCGGCTCAATCTCTAAAATAATTTTCTCATATAAATCAAATTGAAATCCAGAGCGATCAACGGTCGGAACCGTCCGGACTGGTTTTAAAAAACAATGTTGGCTTCCGACATTAGCATCCTGGTGAAATCCCCTTATGTTTTGCATTTTCACTTCTCTCCAAACCTAGATCTCCTTCATCATGATCATGATCATCATCTTCCTCCTCCTCCAAACCTAGATATCATTCACGAACCCTCATCCCTCTTCTTCTACATATTCTTCCTACCCCAGCGATGATGGTTGACTCCCATTTTAGAGTGATAGTTCGAGAAAACCTTCTCTGCTGATCCTTCCTTCTGGAGGCACGAGAGAGCGTCGAGGGTGCGACAGAGTCAGATCAAGACATAGGAAGTGATAAGTTGAATTTGAAGTTGGAGAGGAGGGTCGAGGGTTTCTTTGGTCTGGATAATGAGTGAAGGAAAAGCTCATGTGTGAGAAGTTGATGACGATACTGACTCTGACATCGAGCTCTTCTAAGCAATAAGTCTTGTTTTTGTTTGTCTTCCCTGTCATTGTCATTTTTTTTTTCACCATATTCTTCTTCCTTCCCTCTGCTATGGCTAGGGTCTGGCTCGTCCAATTTCCAAATAGCGAAATGATATGGCTTTACATTCAAAAATCGATTGTGTAGACAACATGCAAGGTGCGAAAGTCAAATTGTTGTAACTTTTGGTTTCGTGATGGTCTCTCCAGATTAGAACCAAAGCATAGGCTCGTGGACATAGTTTTTTTTTTTTTTTTTGGGTTCATGACTATTCTTAGTTGTTTTTTTTTTTCTTTGATGGCCGACGCTAATTTCAGGGTTTATTAATTAAGTTTTTTGGGTTCAAATCTTTGTCTTAATTTGATTGTTATGGTTTATCCATTTCTGGCATTAAGTTTTTCAAGTTTCTTGTTTCATTTTGATTTGGCTATACCTTACTTCATATATCTGAGTTCTTCTTCTTTAGCACCGACGATGAGAATGAGAGAGCTTCCATGCCTATGACGATGATAACGAGATGCGTCTTCTCCATCCCAGGTCTTTGTGGTTCCAAAATCTGAATCTAATTTCCGAATCAATACTGTATGATTTCTCTAGATGTGGTTTTCAATTTTTATTGGTTTTTGCTTTTAAGTGTTTCATCTGAATTTGAATCTGATTTGAATATGGTTTTGAGTTTCCATCAATTTGTGATTGACTTGAGAAAGTGGACGAAGAAAGAAATCAAAAGACGGAAGGAAGGAAGAAAAAGAATTGGAAAAAACAAAAGATTACATGGAATGCTACGTGGCTGCCACTGGGACACAAAATTGTTAAATTTTTAAAGGTCAAAGCATGGTAATAGGGTGATATTGTATTAAAATAAAAAAATATTGGGATAAAATTGTGCAAAAAATACTATAAAAATAGGGTGTGCTTGGATAAAAATATTGGCAGTTTTGTGTTTTAACCTGAAAAAGAAAGATGAATCAAGAACACAAAATTGCCCCAGGTTTAAAAAATAATTTATTTGAAAAAAAAAAGTGTTTTCCCCCACCCTGAAGTCTGCATCAATGCAACTCCTTCACGTGAGCAGCAAGCTCCCCCCTCACAGACTCCCTCCCTGTAATTTTTGTTAAGTGTTGCGTTGCTTCTAGGATCCAAAAACAAGCCAAATCCATAGAATCAATCCGTTTAAACTTGATAATTATTAGAGTCAGGTTTAAATTTTAAAACTTTAAATATAAGAGCCAGTTCTAATGGATAGAGGGACTAAACGGGCTGACCCTGTAGGGTCAAGGGCCAGCCCTTTTAAGTCTATTTATTTATTTATATTTTAAAATATTATTTATTATGATAATATTATTGATATTTTTGACAATGTTTCAAATATTTAATTGTTATAGTAGGTTTTTAGAATTAAAATTTATATAATACTTTGGTTTGTTTAATATCTTTTAGATAAAGTTTGATTTGTTTAATTCTAAAAAATGATATATTTGAACAAAAAAGTAATTGTTTAATCTAATTTAGATTCTAGACAATAATTTGATTCATGTTGCGTATATGTGTTAATATTTTTAAATTATATTTTTTAATAATAGATTATTTTTATATTTATATGATTTGTATTGTATGACTTGAATTAAAAATTTATAAATTTTAATGTTTTATTATTTAAAATAAAGAAATTTTTATATAATCAAGATACTGTTGATATTAAGATTAAAATGTTATCTATATAATTTAACATTAAAATAAAATTTTATATTATAATAAAATGAATGAATTACTTTTAATTTAAAAAAATAAAAAATAAAAAGACTTAGAAACTCGCAGGACAAACTCTAAGTCCTTTATCCCTAGAGCTGAGCTTCAGATATAAACTCTTTAAAAAAAAACTTGAGTTTCAATGAGTTAGCCTTTTTAATTCTAAGCTCATTAAAAGTCAACCTTTTAAGATCGGATCAGTTTGTTTTTTCAGCTCTAGTTGCTTGCAGCGAAGTTCAATAATCATTCGTTCGAATTTATTATGTAATTATGAGATGAATCTAACGATAAATTGGAGGGGTAAAAATGTCCATATGGAAACATGCGTCAAGCAAACAAACAAGTTATCAATTTTCACTAGTTTCGATAAAGTGGAGAGAGGGGAGACGCCAGTGCTTGAAATCCAAAACCATAAGAAGAAGAAATCTCAGAACCGAGATCTCGGAGAGTGTAAAATGGAGTATTGATTCCCAAATGGAAGTCCAAGTTGAGAGGTCGGGGTCCTGCAACTGCAAGATGAGTGTTCTCCTTCTATTTTGTCTGTTACTATTCTCAGATTGGCAAATAGCTGCCGCTCGAGCGCTGAGGCCTGGCTTCCTTTACACCAGGACCAGAGGAAGATGTACTCCGCAGTAAGATCTCTTCTCTCAACATTTTAATCCAGTTATGAACATTCGTATTATGTTACGCAAATTGCCTGAACTGTTAATGCGAAGGTTCTGGAGTGGAAGGAGGGAGAAGTGGCCCAGAATGGTACCGGAGACGTCTACTGTGTGGAAGGTGTTCGGTTCCAGGACTTACGAGCGGTACAGTTGGGATCTGACATTGGCGGAGGCGACTGCGAGGAACGACCAAGAGAACGCGTTTGGGAGGCTGGTGAAGGAGGCGAGCGCGGCGCTGCTGAACTCGTACACGAGAGAGGGGTATCCGTACAGACCTTGGCAGGTCAAGACGCTGCTCATTCAAGCATTGGTGTCGGAAGCTGCAGCTTCGTCTCAAGCCAAGCGCTTCTCATCGGCTAATCTTGCTTGTGACTGATCCTATCAACCCCGCTATATCACACTCTTAAATCCATTCTCTTGTTGGTGTGGTGTGATCTTCGTGTTGATTCGGTGCATTTTACTTACTGGTTGTGTGTCTCTCAATTTAGTATTGATTTCACTCGTCAATCAAATCTTGAACTTGCTTCGTCTTTCTACATTTATCTTTTATATTTGCCTCCTACTCGTCGCCGACATTAGGTTCTGCGAGAAACTCAATCGAATCTATTATGCTTTAGCATCGCAACCTTTTTTTCTTGGCCAACATTATTGTGACGTTTATTAGCTGAAAAAAATGTGTTCCGTATTTCCTCCAAACAAGTCAATACGAAAATTATTAGATCGATTAAGCTGCAAACGGCGGAAAATGCTACAGACAAATATTCGGTGCGAATAGCTTCTTATATAGATAAAATTTTGATTGACAAAAAAGAACATCGGTAAAGCTAAGGCAAAACACTTTACAAAGTGAATGGGGTGATCGATAATTTATGACTTTTTTAAAATTTTGATAAAAATAAAAACTGATCGATAATTTATGAAGGTTGAAAAATGAAAAACATCTCTATCCATCATG